GAAGGAGATATCGAGCACAAAAGGCGAAACCTAATCCTGTAGCAAAGTAAGCAGAAACTTTCATGAGGACTCCAAGAGACGTGGCATTTCTGCTCGCTTTGAATCTGAAACTTATTTTAGCAACAATGACAAGACTAAAAATGACATAAAATGACTAGTTACCTCAAATAACCATAAGAAGCCTGATCAAAAACTGACTTAATGTCACTCTTCCGCTTCATACTCAATAAACAAAGAGCCTGAAAGTCACAGATCTCGTTCTTATGGTCTCAATGTGCCTTGCACGTTCCAACAGAGATAAAAAACCTGCGTAGAAAAGGCAAAGTGGGAAAACTTGAAAATGCATACTAATGTAAGCTGACCTCGTTGATGCCGCCTTTGACCTCGTTCACTTCATTCTTTGATACATAGAAGATACGTCCAGGTTGTACTTGATACAGCTTTAATCAGTAACTTTTTACTTGAATATCTTCACTGCGCTGCTTATTTTTGCAGGTTAGACTAATTACGAGAAAGAAAATTGCACACTAATAATAACTCACGATTCAAAAAAGCTAGCAAAACAACTGATATATAAAGTAATTTAGCATAAAAAACCTTACCATAGACACTTTGTGGTCGATTGTGATAGTAACTAATAGTCGTGCGTCATTTCCATTAAGATGTTGGTTCTCCACGGAGACGAATTCCAACTGAACAAGTTCAGGATGAAGCTGTGGTCGAATTCCAGAACGCACAGAATAGATAAACGCTTGTCTGAGGGTGTCCCGTTCCTCACTTGACACATCACATCCCAGTACCTGCTCAATCCAAATAACCCATAGTGAGAAAGTGAGAGGGAGTCAAAGAGGTTTGTATTTACCCTACGATTAGGACCGATACCAATCACCCAATGTAGGCGACGTTGTGAATTCAAAGCTGCGCAAATGGTGGACATCATAGTAAAAATGGTGAGTTCGGTGATCCTCTCTGGTTCCCAAAAGATGGTCCAAGTATCAGATGGCAACTATAATTACAAATTAGAACAGCTTATGAA